GCTCCTTCGTCGAATCCGCCGGCCGCCGCTCACTCTAGCCGCCTGCCTCCGCTCACTCAAGGCCGCCGTGTGTGACGTTGTGTTTCGTTGTGAAAGCGAAACTACTTTGTTGGCCTTCCAAAAGAGGACACGACTAGAAATCAGTGGTTAAGTTGTATTTACAACACTGTTCCAGAACAGTTCAACCCAAATATTCAGATGTGTGCAGCACATTTTATGGATGACTGTTTCCTGATCCTGGTAGAGTAGACTACAATGCCGGCTGTTCTGACTCAAAGACTGTAAGTACGTTTTTTTATATATAAAGAATTTTGCCACTGACGATTCAAACGCGAGTTTTGAGCAGTGTAGAGTAGCGCTTGTTGTTTGTCATTTCTCCGATCACAAATGCAGACATGGTTTTATGTTTACTATGCGATGCAATGCGTAAAAAGACAGTATAAGTAATTGTAATCCGTAATTATGTCCCCACTGGATGCAACAAATGCCTCATTTATAATGGGTTTTATCTCGTCGCTCCGGCCGGACACGGCATCACAGTATGGTAAGGGGCATAACATTTCCGTCACATGCTTGAGGTATTCGGCCAATCACAATGCACTGTATAGCTGACCAATCACAGCACACCTCACTTTTCAGACCAATGAACTTTGTAAAAATCGACGCGTTTCAGAAAGGCGGGGCATAGAGGAGAAACAATAATGCACAGTATGTGAAAATTTTGTTTTTTGAACCTTAAACCGCATAAACACATTTCATTACACCAAATACACAAAATAATGTTCTATTTAGCAACATCATATGATCCCTTTAACAATAATACAGAATAGTATACGGCGCACAATATCGGATTTGGATCGGTCTGGTCTGACCGATACCCCGATCCAGCAGAAAATGGCAGTATCGGAGCGATACAGATACTGAATATCAGATCGGCGCAACCCTAAAGCACATTAATTCCGATATTCTCAGATCGGTTTCAGGCCTTATTCAAATGTGGAAATAGATCTGATAAGAATCGTATACGTGCATTTGCACCTGCTATGTAAGCGGACAGATGGGATATTCCCCTGTTAATGCAAGTTGGATGTCAAATGTTTTTGAAACATCTCGTGGTACAGATATATCTATTACAAATGAAACGTCTCTAGTTGACTAGCAGAGTATTAATTTTGTTTGTTTGTGTTAAATAAGAGACGATCTAGCACTGAAATGTGTTGCTTTTGAAATCATGCTGAGTGCTCGTTGCCGCTGTTATCAGTGATGGCGGCTCATACATAGACTAGCGCTTCAATCTATTGCTAACTGTTGTGGAGGCTCTCTATTCATTCTGGTGAAATCATAAAAAATGCACACAAACATGTCCCTGCTCTTGATATACCATCACTGATGAACACATTGGGTTTTAATGAGGGAAAAAACGCTCCAGTTACTGACGTACCCTTGGTTCCCTGAGATAAGGGAATGAGCGTTGTGTTTACCGCATAATGGGGAAACTCCTGTTTACTCTGTTACTGAAGCCTGATTTGTTCATGTTTGTGTAGCTGCACAAATCAATGGTGCTTTAGCCCGCCAAAAGGGGCAGAGCGGACCTCTATATAAGTCGGCTTAGAGCACCATTTCATCAGAATCATTAGACTGAAGCGACAGTCATCGATTCGCATGCAGCTTATAGCACGGAGAGTGACACAACGCTTGTTCCCTTATCTCATGGAACCGAGGTTACGTCAGTAACCAGAGCATTCCCTATCGTACAGTCTCTCCCGTCGCATTTAACGCAGTGTGGGGAATGCATCCAATCATGCCATGCTATGAGCAGAGACAGAGCAACCTGCTCTTCTAGCCTAGTCTTGGAGCACTTAAGTTAAGGACTTAACTAAAGAACCAAGACTATAGCATCCACTATCCAGCAAGAAAGTCTCTGCTTCGTAACTGGCAACCCTTTTGAGCGGCCTCCAAAGCAAACAAAGAGCTGCTCTGATTGTCTAAACAGACTAGCGCGCTCTAAGTACACTCTAAGAGCCCTCACTGGGCAGAGTGGATTAGGACCCTGCTCACCGACTGCAATGGGGAGTTCCAGGAGTGTAATAACCTGGGCTCTGAATGGAGTTGAGAATAGAGAGCTGCATTGGGTTTGGGCTCCCGCAGGACCCAACGCATATCTTGCGGGAGTGGGGGGTTTTACCATTGCTGCAGGTGGGAGTGGGCAGTCAGAAAATTTTGTGGGAGACCCGCGGGGCCCAGTGAGATTTGGCGTGTAATAGAAATGGAGTTCCAGAGAATGTGCTTCAATGGTGGAAGTTCAACAAAGAGCGCTTTCCTGTCCTCTCAAAATTAGTGCGTTTTATTTTGAGCATTCCCGAATCTAGTGCGCCGTCAGAGAGGGCATTCAGTGTGTGTGGGAGGATCTTGGAAGAAAGACGCACAAGTCTGGGACCGCAGTCAGTCAGCAATATACTTTTCCTTATAGTAATATGATTAAATTCATTTAAGTAGGCTGTGTTATTTTTTTAGAAGAAAAAAAATTACCTGTGCCGGCGTGAAATCACTCAAGCCTGATCGCTCAACCTGTGAGTCCGCCGTTTCTTCCTCCGAGGTAGCTGGGAGGGGAGAAACGTGAGAGCAGGAGGGGTGGGGTCGCCTTCATTGAAGAAGGCAATTCGCGAGCGAAGCAGGGACTGACTCATGCTTTCGCAATGAAAGCAGCCTGTCTCAGTGAGTGCAGCCTCAGCGGCGCGCACACAAATGTGAAGCTGTCAGCAATACAGAATCATTGGTGACAGCAATGTACTCCGATCTGCCTAGAAGGATTGAGCCGCTCAATGTAAATGAAGGGCACTGATCCTTACTCTTACTCGTTCCCTGCACGAGCCACACTCGCAGAGCGACATTTGCAACAACGTCGCTAGGAAATTTGCTCTTTTATTGCGCTGGATGGCTGCAGGGGAAGGCTTCTGGCTTCTTCCTTTGCCGGGGCTCCTTCTACGGCAGCGAGCAGCAGGCTGAGCTTCTTCCATCTTCTTCTTCGGCTTCTTGATTGCGGAGTCAGCAAAGAGATGATCCTTGTCGCTGAAGGAAAAGATTCTGATAAAATGGCGCTCTGAGCCAACCTAGGTAGCGGTCGGCTCCGCCCCTTCTGGTAGGCTAAAGCACTATAGGTTTGTGCAGCTACACAAACGTGAACAAATCAGGCTTCAGTAACAGAGTAAACGGGAGTTTCCCCATACTGCGTTAAATGCAATGGGAGAGACTTCGATAGGGAACTATACGAAGGCGGATTAGAACCCAGATGCACTAACTTAGCACAAGTTCTACTGCTAGACCATTAGTACCCTCGGATGTGTATAGCTGATCTGTGTACATAATCACTGTCATGAAGAATCGGTACTAATGAATGATTTTGATGTAAGGATGAAACTAGACTAACGCATTAAAAAATTTTCTATGAGTTATGTCAATAAGTTAAACTCTTTGCGTTCATATTATGGACTCATCTGCTTTTCTATACAAAGTATGCTTTATTAATAGTGTGTGCAGATTTTAGTCTTTCAATATCACTGTCTAATGCATTGAGCCACGTCGTGTAGTGTAAATGCAGATATCGGATATGGGTCACTTTTAAACAAAGGTGTAAGCGGGTCATCAAAAAAATCTGATATAGTCAAAAAAATCTGATTTGGGCATCCAGATATGCCGTGTAAACACAGCCATTGAAAATAATACAGAATATTCAGGAAGAAATGTGCATAAAAGGATAGTAAAGGAATAGAACTATCCCTTTAATGGTCATGAAAATAATGGTCAAGTTAATGTAAATTAAAAAAAATCTTGGACACCTTATAGTAAAGTTTTTGAAAATTGTCTTACTCTACATTTGACTCTCTAACACTAGAACTCTCTATTCTATTTATATTCTGTCTACTTGTTTTCTTTTTAATTATTATAAAAAAATAACGACCATTTATATAAAAAATAATAATAATAAAAAAAACTTGCTACATGTACTGCGTTAGACTAACTGGGACCTGTCACAACACTTCTATATCGTTGCTCTTTTGTTGGTTTGATTGCTTCTATTGCCCTCATTTGTAAGTCACTTTGTATAAAAGCATCTGCTAAATGATAAAATGTAATTGTAAATGGCTTATTTATCTTTCAAGATATAAATATGAAGATATATTTACTTAAGCAAATTTTTTTAATTATAAATGTTTAACAATTACTTTCAGAGAAATATATCAAAATGTAAGATTAATGCTTTAGTAAAGCAAAAACACCTGGCAATGGGTTATGAAAATTGCAATAGAGAATAAATTAATAATAATCCTATTATTATTATTAGTACTATTATATCTCTTTTCATGTTTTAGTCCAGATTGAAATGCAGAAATATTTACATGTATACATGTAAATATACATGTAAATGAAAACATTTAAATTGTAAATACTGTTTAAATACTAAATTCTACATTTAAATACTGTTTTGACTTACTTTCTTCTCTGTGACAGCTAGCAAGTAGACACAGAAAGTTGCACTTGCAATGCTGCTTTGTGTAGAGGGGTAACTATGGTAACCGCTGTATTTCTGCTGTTCCATAATCGTCACCTCCTGTCAGAGACTGAACTTGCATTTTTATTCAGCCCATCTGCTGATTTTGTTCAGATGTGAAAATCAGACTGAATTTTCATGCAGCAAATACGCAGTGCTGTCAGATTTAACTGGACGCTAATATGAATATTTCAATAAATATATAAATAAGCTGATAGGCGTTCAAAAAACTTTTAAACAATTCCGACAATAAGGTATCTAGAATTATTCAGGTATTTTGAAGTGCTCACGATAACACCGTGCACGACACTGACACTGTGGTTACACTGGCACAACGTCTACAAAGCACTCATGAAATGCCAAATTAAATTGACAAAACATAATGCAGCAACCGCTATTTCAACATCATCTTTTTAAAATCTTTTTAAATTGATAGTGTTGTGCTGCTTTGACATAAGGGGGAGACGGGGTCTTGCGTAATTTGCGTGGCCCGTAGTGAGCTTATTTGGCCGATCGGCTCTGCCTACAATTAGCTTAATTTTCTTCATGCAAAATTCTAATTTGTTTTTTTCTTTCTTTTTTGAAATTATGACTTATGTTGTGGTTAGATTCCTATATCAAAACAGCAAAATGCATTTGATTATTCCTGTGATAATGATAAAATGTTATATCCTGTTATGACTAGATGGCACAGAACAATGATGACGAGTGTTATGTGTGTGACGCTGAGGGAAATCTTGTGTGTTGTGACGAGTGTCCACGAGCTTTTCATTCACACTGTCACCTACCAGCTGTACACAGAGACTCACCTGGGTGAGAGAGACAAACAGATAGAAAATCATTAAATCAGCAAGTGTGTGTGTCGAACATTGATTCTGTATATGTGTGTGTGTTTGCTTGTAGGGAATGGATTTGTTCCTTTTGCGTGTTAAGAGCCAGTCAACAATGGCGTGACTCCAGTAACATGTCTGAACAAGAGGCTTTCGGTGCCCCAGTGTCTCAGTACAGATTGGTAAACGCACACGCACACACACACACACACAAACTCGGCACCTTAATATAGAAGATGACCATAAACATTTAAGGTGCTCACATTTTGTAACAGCCTCTGATGTCTTAAAGTGCTGTCTACATAGGCTGCTCAGCAGGTTTAGAAACAGAACAATTATTTTGGGTCTAATATTGTGGATATGTGTGTTGTTTGTCATCTTTAGCACTGCCACTACCTCCTGTTATGTGTGTACAGAGAGGACATCCAGAAGGTGTTTGTTGAGGATCCACGGCCAACTGTGAGATTGTCTCTTTATTTGATCTCTCTGTCTTTTACATTTGCTATTCTTTTCATGCCTTAGTTTAAATTTAAAAATAGTTTATAAGTAGAATAAATGTGTAATAAATGTGATGAAAGATATGAAATGAAATTTAAAATAAATAAAAACAAAAATAAAATGACTTCCAGGTGCCCAGATACTCCGAGTTCATATCTCAGCCGATGTGGCTGGACAGAATAAAGCAGAAGTTGGAAAGTGGAGAGTATCAGATGGTAGGAGCATTCGTCTCAGACTTTCAGCTCATTTTCAGCAACTGCAGCACGTTCAATAGGGTAAGATTCACTGAAACACGTTACATAATAAAAAATTCACCAAAAAACAGATCAAGACTTTCCAATGTTGTTTTCCAATGTCTTATACGTGGACGCATATCTTTGGACATTATTGATGATTATTGTTGAGATGTTTAACTTTTGGACGTGTGATTTTTTTTTTTTTTTTTTTTGACAGATTTTTTTGTATTTTGTATTCCATTTTCTTGCTCTCTAAAGGACAATGTGTTTGGCCGAATGGGTGCCAGGCTGAAGGAAATGTTCGAGGAAGAGTTCCAGAAAATCTTCAGTATCCAATAACAACTCTCTTTTACAAGTTTTTTAAAGATACAATTGAGATCTGGATATCTTTGAATAATCATTAGAGTTCATTTTAATAATGTATAATATGTATAAACATTTTTATTTTGCAGTCCTGCAAAGGACAAGTGGTTTGGAGAATGGATTGGTTACTGATGGCAATTTGATTATGTCAGTACGAAGATCTGCTACTATCAGTTTTTTCTCCTACTCCATACAGATCTTAATCACTGTCAGTGTTCAAGTACCTTAAACGTGAAGGGTGCCATTTCTGTAATTCCAAGAATAATGATTGTTTTAAATAGGTTCCTAAACAATCCGACCACCCTTTCTGACCTGCCCCGTCTTTTATTGCTCAAAAAACAGGCAGCCCCACAGCCAAACACACAGCATTAGAAACACTACAGAGCCAGATATTCGTTTTTTTACATCTACTATTTGCGTTTTAAGCTGTGATAAATGAAAGAATTTTAACGATAAAATTTGCACAATTCACTTTTAAGACCTAAATCAAAATATATTGCAGCATTTTGTTATTTGAATCATTTGACATTCAATGTTCTGTTTTTTTTTATACATAAAAACATATATACATATACATTTATACATAAATAAATTGATACCTTTATGTAAAAATGTGGAGAATCTTTTTTTTGTTTATTATTAACAGAAGTAGTAGTTTTTGTTTTATATATTATTTTGTGTAGTTTCTTTTTGTTCTGTAGACTTTTTGTATTTTATTATGTAAATGTTGTGAAGTATAATAGTATTTGAGTGACTCACCAGGTATGTAGATATACTTAGATGACAGGTGACACGTGGTTAGGTGAGTAAATTCAACAAAATGTTTGTATTACACCTGGGTTTCCCGTAAGGGATAGTTCACCCAAAAATGACTACTTACAGTAGTATGAAAACAAATACTATGGACGTCAATGGCTACCGGCAGCTGGTTGTTTATTAACATTATCCAAAATATCATCGGTTTTCAAAAGAAGGGGTTTGGGACAACTTGAGGGTGACTCTTTTACTGGGGCACTATGTATAAATAGAAAATAGGCTTTCTTATTATTCAAATATTTTTTATTGATTTTCAATATTATACAACAATCAGAACACAGACATATACAACACTCTTCTTCAGAAGTCAGAAAGAGCTTTATTGCCAAGTATGTTTGCACATACAAGGAATTTGTTTTAGTGTCACAAGCTTCCAGTACACAGAGACAACAACAACTCCCATATAATAAAAATAAGATGTGAATAAAATACACATGCATAAATATAAATAAACCACAAAAAAATAATAAATTGTATGTACAGGTGTGCTATAGATAGGATAGGAATAAAATTAAAATTAAATTTGTAGGGATGTACTAGGATTTAGGGTGATAAGTATAAGGTTATAGCACATTTTTATTGCACAGTGGGAGAACATTAACTGTTCATGAGGTAGTTTGCCTGGGGAAAGAAACTGTTCTTGTGCCTGACTGTCCTGGTATTCGGTGCTCTGTTACGCCAACCAGATGGCAAAAGTTCAAAAAGGAGATGGCTTGGATGTGAGGGATCCAGAGTGATTTTCTGAGCCCTTTTCCTCACTCTGGATGTATACAGTTCTTGGAGGGTAGGCAGGGGAGCACCAATAATCCTTTCAGCAGTCCGAACCATTCTCTGTAGTCTTCTGATGTCTGATTTTGTAACTGAACCAAACCAGACAGTTATTAGAGTAGAACTATTAGAACTGTTTCAGCAGCTCCTGTGGCAGGTTGAATTTCCTCAGTTGGCAAAGGAAGTACAACCTTTGTTGGGCCTTTTTAACAATGGAGTCGATGTGAGTGCCCCACTTCAGGTCCTGCGAGATTGTGGTGCCCAGGAACCTGAATGACTCCACTGCAGTCACAGTGCTGTCCATGATGGTGAGTGGGGGGAGTGCAGGGGGGTTCCTCCTGAAGTCCACGATCATCTCCACTGTTTTGAGGGTGTTCAGCTCCAAGTTGTTAAGACTGCACCAGACAGCCAGCTTCTGTAAGCAGACTCATCTCCGTCCTGGATGAGACCGATGACTGTAGTGTCATCTGCAAACTTCAACAGAGAGCTGGGTTAGCTTGGTCTGGAGGAGTGTTGGGATGATGGTGTTGAAAGTGGAGCTAAAGTCCACAAAAAGGATCCTCACATAAGTCCCTGTTTTGTCCAGATGTTACCGGATGAAGTGCAGTTCCATGTTGACTGCATCATCCACGGAAGTGTTTGCTCGGTAAGCAAACTGCAGGGGGTCAAGTAAGGGTCCAGTAATGTCCTTCAGATAAGCCAACGCCAACCTCTCAAATGTCTTCATGACCACAGATGTTAGAGCCACAGGTCTGTAGTCATTAAGTCCTGTTATCTTTGGTTTCTTTGGGACTTTGGGAGGGGTGGAGCGTTTGAAGCAGGCAGGGACTTCGCACAGCTTCAGTGATCTGTTGAAGATCTGTGAGAAGATGAGAAGATGGGGGTCAGCGCAGGTTTTCAGACAGGCTGGTGTCACACCGTCTGGGTCTGGTGCTTTTCTTCTCTTGTTCTTTCTGAAGACCTGGCGCACATCATCCTCACTGATCTGAAACGTAG